CTCTTCAGGGAAGTACTGTGTGTCTTTAGTGTGGGAGCTGAAGCTTGGCTTAACAAAGCATTGTGTAGCACTATTGGGGTGTCCTTCTGGCTGTCAGTAATGGGTTTGACCTGCCTAGGTCCTACGCAATGACAAGGAAGAGTGAGCTACATTAGGAAATGGGCTTTTCAGGAAGAGGAAATGTGGGGAACTACTGAGAGCACTTGTGTGTGGAGAGAGGGCACCAAACCATGACCTTTTTGTGTGCGTGCATGTCTTGTCAGATTTGGGATTACGTTGGTTTACACAAGCTTCTGTTCTTAATGCCTTCCTTGCAGGAGGTTCTGATGATGCTTGGGCAGATGCAGAAGACATTTCAGAGGAAGATTCTGCACTTAGGTCTGTATGCATCACTGGGATGGGGGAAAAAGGAGTTTGGACCAAAGCTGACTGGCTCAGCCACTCAATTCCGCTCTTTCCTAGGCTGGGATTGGGGTACAGGCTTGAGAGTACCAGGCTGAGAGTCTTACATTCCTTGCTTTTGAGTCTTGAATGCTAAAGTTGGCTGAACCCAGTCTAACTGAAGCCTGCTAATCTATTGCCAGAGGGAAAGGCTGGAGACAGGAATATATAGAGCCATTTAAAAAGGTGTTTGAATTACACAGTCATGTTTACTTCATCAAAAAGTACATCTCCAGGCTGGAGAAAATCTTCTGTATCTTATGTGCTTGTTACGGCACAGAGTGAGACACATGGTGAGGGACCCTAAGCACCAAGTTTGCAGTATCAGTTCATTGCAGATTCTGACTCTGACCTGTGGAGGCAAGGCTCGTGCTATGCGGCTTATGGCTAGAAGTGGTTCAGGGAAGAACTGTGGCAGTATTGTGCAGAGAATCAGACTCAACATGGTCAGTCTTCCATGCTCATCTTGCTTTGTCTTGTTCTGTCTTGCAGAAATGCAGACTCCCAGCTGTTTGACAAGGTCAGAGGGCACGACATCAAGCTGCTTCGATACCTGTCTGTCCGATATATCTGTGACCTGATGGTGGAAAACAAGAAGGTGAAGTTTGGCTTGAAGTGAGTCTGCGTTCATTTGTTTTTCTGCAGGCTTTTGATTGCAGCTAGTGTAGACCTTACACGTGAATTGTTATTGGGTATGCACTCAGCAACCTGGGAGCAGTCCTTGGAAGCATTCTACAGCAGGATCAGTTAGTTGATGCTGTAAAGAGAACCCCAAGGTTTTAGGCCAGAGAAAGCTGTATCAATGGGCAAGACAGCTGTTTTCATCTGTCTTCTGTAGTCTGAGTAGGTTTTCTCTAGAGCTTGCAGTGGTGGGACAGTCACACCTTGAGAAAGGGGAGAGTGAAGTGTTTGTATATAGGAGCAGAGGGAGATGTTTCTCCTGGTATTTCTCTCAGAGGAAAGCTTTAGTGGTTTTGGGCTATACCTGTTTCTCTGGATGTGTTGAGTAAGTTCTACCCCTGCTCTCTGCTGAGTCAGGTCATTGTGTAGGGAGATGTGACAAGTAGCTTTTTGGGTGCTAGTATCTCTGTAAAAAATACTCTACAAGTGTCTGCTGTTTTCCTCTTGTCCTGTGCAGTGTGACGTCTTCTGAGAAGGTGGACAAAGCTCAACGTTATGCTGACTTCACGCTTCTCTCCATCCCATATCCAGGTACAGGACTGATGTCCAGAGGGACTCCCAAGGGACAGGTGACAATCCGTTTCTGGGCACTAGGAACTACGTGTGTGTGTGCATGTGGTGAAATGACTGTGGCTTGCTGAATGTTTCCTGTGTTCCCTCTGGAGAGAAGTTCTTTTAAACTGAGAACAGTGCAACAAATCTGGATGATCTGGCAGTGTGAGTCAGCAGTAGGCACTCTTTGAGGTAGCAGAATAATTTCTCAGCAGTTTTAATTAATTCAAACGCAGAGAAAAAGTCCCAGAGGTGGAGCTGGGGGTAAGATGACACCCCCACACCTCCAAACTACCACTTGATGCAAAATATACATCTTGCTCTGTGTTATGTAAACCCCCAATTCTTAAGAGTATTTTCTAGTCCTAGTGTTCCAGAGCGCCACTGTAAGATATCCTCAGTGCTCGGCAGAACTGTTAACCTGAGCCTGCAATGTACGACTGAGATGCAGGCCACTCCAGCCCGTCTCCCTGGCTATATTAGTCCCTGTGCCTAGCAACCACTGCTGGGTCACTTGCTGCAACTCTTAAAAGATGAGCTGAATATTGCTGTCTGCCTGATGATGTCAGGCTCAGTGATAGGATTGGATGTGAGGCTGCTGTGCTTGAGGCCTGTCTGCAAGGAAGGGCTCTTTTCTCCCTCGCGCACAAAGAAAGGGAGAGGAAAAGAAAAAACCCAAAACTGTTGCAAACCCAAACTTCTCCTTGATTTCTAGTTGTTGTCCTTAAATATTTCTTTTTTTTTTTTAAAAAAAAAAAGTCTATTTCCTTTCATACAAGAATTAGTGACAATTCAGAGAAGCTGCATTAAGATTTGTATTGAGTTTGCCATGCAGATTGCCGAGGTGTACAGAAGTAAGAGTGTTACTGGTTTCTGCGGCTTAGGTATATGTTGCTGCCATATGCCTCATCAAACCTAGACCATGGTAGAGAGAGTGTACACATGTCCTTTGCAGGGTTCGGAAAGAATGAGGAAGAAGTGATTCTATAGAGTTAAGCTGTAGAGTTGTTACTGTATGGGGATCTGCGTATTGTATGCAATATTCAGTGATGGTCCTTCCTCTTCTGCCATCTGGGACAGCTGCTGTCTTTTAGCAGCTCTCCACTGCCACACACATTATAAGAGATAAACCTTATAAACCTGGAAAGTCTCCCTGCAGATGTTGCCTGATTTCAGCAGTGCTGGTTCAGAGGGGAATGTTGTCATTCTGTTAGATCTAAGGCATACATATCTAAGGATCAGAAACCCCTCTAGTGACTGGCCAAATGCCCTGATATGTTCTTAATTTTTCCAGGTTTGCATTGAAAGAATTTCTGTTCTGTAACTTGTCTCTAAAGTTATTCTGAGAACCTGTTGTCTTAGGTGAGGGAGGCAGTGTCCAGACATGACTGTCTAGGGTGAAAGATTTGGGTTAAAACGGGGTATCTGTAGAACTTTTGTGCTCTCCAGTGCAGAAAAACCCTCTTTTCCATTTGACTGGTAGTTGGCATTTGTAGATGCCAATACTTACTGCAATAATCCCCCCGTTCTTTGCTTTAAGCCATTGTTTAATTGGAGTTAAATCTCAGCTGACAGATTGCTTCCTGACTCTGTGCTTTTGAGGGCTCTTCCTGTCCTTGCACAAAGATTTTTTTATTTTTTTTTCACCATTGCAGTTACTTGTGACTTGCTGGGTTGGAATCATTACCTGTGTTCAGTGCCTGCCACAGGATTGTCTTGGTAACGTGGACACTGTTGTGCTGGGGCACACACAGGACATTGGGAGAGGTGTTTCACGTAGCCTGCAGGCAGCCGCAGTGCTAATGGTGCTGCTCAGCTGTGACTAAGTGACTGCAGTCTGCTGCAGAGACTTCAAATAGTTGTTTGAGAAGAACAGAGCCAAAGGACAAACTTCAGGAGGAGAGGGCTTGGTGGAAAACCTTGGAAATAGTTATGTACGTGCTTCCTTCAGATGGGGCAATTCACGTGCTTGAAAGAGGAGACTTAAATGTGAGAGAAATCACAGCTGCCTCTGTCAGAGCCCTTGTTACCTGCAGCAGATGCCCTGTGAAAGTTGGCTTTCTCTGGGGCTCTGCCAGCACCTCCTTTTTCTGGTTCCTTCTCACTCAGTGTGCCAGGCTGATGCCTGTGCAAAAGCCAGTGGCCCTGGAAAGCATAGCTCCTTGGTGAAACCTCTTGTTTGGGAAAGAATGAAATCAGTCCCTAAAACTCTGCATTTGCTGTCTGTTTGGAGTTTGCCCTTTGCTGTGAGTGTGTTCACTGCTGAGTGCTCTGGGTTGTTGCTGTTGGGAGGCCATGCTGCACACTATACTGATGATTACTGCTCTTCTCTTCCTGCAGGCAGCAGTTTTGATTGGTTTGGTGCTCTGGAGCCCGGGGCTGCCAAGCACTTCCAGTCCCACAGGGCACTTCAGTTGTTAGATGTCAGTTAGCTGAATGGTTGTTCATTATTTCTTTTTCTTGCAGGCTGTGAATTTTTTAAGGAGTACAAAGACCGGGATTATACAGCTGAAGGTCTCATATTTAACTGGAAACAGGTACGTGGATGCTACAAAATGTGGAGAGCTGTGGGCTTTACTGGGCTTAAGTCTTGCCTCACAGTTCCTGAGCAATCGTGTGTGTGTTGTGTGCTTATTTCTGATGACAAGGAGGAAACTACCAGGAGAAACAAAGCAGATAGTGAATGTACAAAATTACTCATTTGTTGTAAAATAAATGAATCGTTATCCTGAAGTCCAGGCTGCTTGACCTGTCGTGGGAGGTATGGGTTGCTCCTGTTTTTGAATTTGGTATCTTACTGATAGCCTCTGTTCTCAGTTCTGTCTTTGTATTCTGTCTCCTGCTGAGGGAGGTGGTTGAGTGGAGCAGCCCTAAGGGAATTCAGAAACTAACACGCCTTGTCCCTGACTTTCACTGTTAGGAGCACAGAAAAGCTCCTCTTAGCGTCTTAGAAGGACTAGTGGACATGAGTTAATCCTTACCACTGCACATTTTTCATTCAAAGATGCTTTGCTGAGGCACTTTCTTCTAGATGCACTGTTTGGCATTTGTTATTTTGGTTTTTCTGGAACTTGCTGCCTTCAAGTCATGGCTTTGCTCTGACCAATTGTGTTTGGGTTTTTTTCAGGATTATGTAGATGCTCCATTAAGTATCCCGGTCTCTCTGACCCAATCTCTGAATATTGATTGGAGCGAGTACCAGGTGAGCAAAGCAGTTGTCTCGGTGGGAAGTCAAAGATTCGGTCGGGAGGGATCAGTAAAGATTTGAAGTCTGACTTGCTCCTCTTGCAGTAATCTGGCTCACTTCATACCATCCCAGTGGGAGTGGGGCTGCAGACTTGATTGTTCAGAATAGCGGTGGAAACCCTCTACCCAAAAGCTTCCTGGCTTGGTGTGTCCCGAGGCAGCTGACTGTAACGTCAAATCTTTTTCTGTAGCTTGCATAAAGCTTGCAATCCATTAGGGAGATATGTCGGTAACACAGGTAAGGAACATGCCAGCAAACGGAAAGCAGTATTAACTCGTTCACAATCTTAGCTAGGCGTGTGCCTGCGGTGGGCAGACTTCCTTGGCTGTGGAGAATCTTGAGAGAGATCAGCCTTCCCTTATGTGAGCAGTAGCCGAGTGACCAGGCGCCTTCTTCATGGGTGTGCAAGGTACCTGTCCTATGAGAGAAAGTCATAATTGACCACAGCATGTCTCCATTCCTTACTACTGTGATAACATCACAAACAATAATCAAACTCTTACGTTTGTCTGAGCTTCAAGGTTCAGCCTTTGTCTGTTCATACCAGGGAGCATTACCTTATACTGCTTATTAGTGTGCTCCATTTCACACATCAGTGGACCTACCAATCCCCCCGGGTTTTCTGATGTTTGACTGTGCTGGAGCGTGTCACGCTCCTGTGCTCTGTGGCTGGAAGCACCGCAGAACTAGCACAGCCCCCCATGCCAGGCCAGTGTTTGTCATTCAGTGATGTAAATAATATTTAAGTGCCAGCATAAGCAGAATCATGGAAAAGTAGCTTGCAGTGTTGAAGCAGAATATTGGGACCACAGCTTGTTTATGGCTAGAAACTTGTTCACTGGAATACTGAGCAGCCAGTATTTTAAAAAGGATATTAAAAATTGAAGAGGGTGTAATAAATAGATACAGAAATGATCTGAGGGCTGGAGAAGGTGCTTCACTTAAAGCTGAAGTTCTCAGTCTGTTTAGCTAATCACAAAGGTGATGGAGGGTTGACTTGATTAACGTGTAAGTACATTTGCAGGGAGAAAATACTAATTCTAAAGCGCTCTTCAATCTGGGGAAGAAGAGCTGCACAGGAAGCAGTATCTGCAGGCTGAAATCAGACCTTCAAATAAGGAAAAGCAGTCTTTCGTGTTATTTTTGAGGATGATCTGTTGGAACATGCTGCTAAAGGAGCGGTGAACTGTCACCCCTATTTGAGGTGCTTTTCTGGGCAGAGATGTTGCCAAGTGCAAGCTTCAGGCTGTATTTGGGGCAACTGAACAAAACTTTCTGGTTTGTGGTATAGAGAGATTAGACTGGGTGATTAGATGATTCCTTCTGGCATAAGCACAAGATTGGGTTGAACTGGGCAGATAAAAGACTTTGGAAGTATGTGTTTTTCTGCCCCAGGCTGAGTGTGTTCTCTATTTCCCTACTCTTTTGTTGCTGTGCAGGCTTCACAGCAGAGCAGTATGTTCTTTGTCTGACAGTAGTCTTAAGTGTGGTTACACGCACACGTGCATGCATGTAAGCACACAGCAAGTGTTCCGTTGCTGGTGGTCAGATGTCACTTATACCACTAACACAGTCACAATGAAATGTGTCCCTCTCCTTGCCTTTTCCTTGCCAGTGCTACCTATTTTCCTTGAGCTAGTTCTGGCTCTCATCAGACCGCTGAAATTACCTGCATCTTCTCACAACACAGGGGTGGAGAGTGGCACACTTGAGCTTGTTCTGATGTTTTTCAGCTGCATCTCTTGTAGAGCTGGAGGTCTCCGAGTTGAGAGCCCTTCTGTGGTGCTGCTGCTACTTGGGTGTTACTGCAGAAGTCCAGCCTGTCTGGAGCCGCCGGGAGTGGGTCGGCCCTCTGCAGTAGCCTGCTGGGGCCATTTACAAGGGCCAGAGAGTTTTGAGCAAAGTGCTTGGGTTGTGGGGACAGGCTGCTGACCTTGACCTGCTCACCCCATCGTGGTACTTCCATCATGTACACAGCTGTAACATGGCTGCTGAGCCGTTTGGTAAAGTGCACGCGTGGGGGGGGCTGCAGAATTGGGTCAGCGCTCTGCAGGTGTTTGCTGGGTCACGTTAGCCTCTCTGAGCATGGTCTGCTTGAAGTTTTGGGGCTGCACGCAAGCAGGTTCTGTGCCAGCCAGGCAGCCAGGAGAGACGGAGTTTCTTTATTTTTGTTTGGTTTACTTTTCCCCCCCCCGCCTGGTCTCTTGTCCCAGAATGCCTTTTGCAGAGGATGGGGGGATTGATCAGAGCACCAAGGGAGTCTGTCACTCTGAGGAATGGCAACGGGGTTATTTCTGCTTTGCTTTTATCCCGGATAGAGAAGCCGAGAGCATGGTGGGCTCTGAACTGCAGAGCAGCCTTTTTCTGTGGGCAGACCCTTACCATCGATATTTCTCTTTATGCAGAGCTGGGACCTTGTGCAGCAGACACAGAACTACCTGAAGCTGCTGATCTCCATCATCAATAGTGATGGTAAGGCAAACTCCTTGCTCCCAGTGGTCTAACTGGAGCAGTCACTGTCTCCAGAAGAACAGCTGACTGTAGTAGTGCCACTCTATAAAGAGAGCTTCGCTTCTCTCCCTTCAAAACAGGGTATTGGCCCTAGCATCTCAGGGCTCCAGCTCTCCTCTTAGAGAGGGACTTGCTGATCCCTTGAAGACCCTCTCTTCCCAAGAGTGGAGGGATATCTGAACACTTTACCTAAAGTTTTACTGCTTTAAAGCTGAAGAGAAGAAACATTTGCTCCTCTGCTTGTTGACTCTTGTTCTTAATTTACTGGACATCTGTGTTTTGTGCCCCCAACCCAGGGTCCCATTAGATGCCTATTTAAGAGCCCCTTTCACCCTCTGTCATCACAGCCACCCCAATTCCTTGAAGGGGGTGTATTGCTTTATGTTGGCATCCTGTTCCCTCTGACCACTGTGACTTGGTACCTGGATAGACAGAGCCATGACTGGCTCTGCCAGCCTGGCTAACTACAGACTCTCCTGCAGTCGTTGCGTTGGGACATACTACGAATTTTCTGGAGAGCATGGGAATCGTGCCCTGTGTGTGCCTCTGCTCAAGGTGTATAAGTAGGAAGGTTGGTGAAACTGATGAAGTGTTCAGTTGGAGCAGGTTTCTCTCTGATGTGGGTATAGACTGTGATGGTGGGTTGCGGCTGGGTAGGTATATGTTCTGGGTAGCAAAGTGATGTTCATACCTAGTGACTTCATGGCCTGAGCAGCTGTCAGGACCAGGACAGCACATCAGCTGGGCTGCTGACAACCCAGGACACTCTGAGCAATTTGTTGACTGCTGTATTCAAGACAAAATGTTCTGGCTTGGTGGCTGAGGTCTGCTCTTGAGCCCGGGCTGTGGGGACAGAGGGTAGCTTGTCTTTACAGATTTGCCATAAAGAAAAGTCATTGCTCTTGTTGCAACATCCTGGTTTTTTTTTCCTTCTCCTTCCTACCCCTGCCTGGAACAGATGACAGCGGGCTCCTGGTGCACTGTATATCCGGCTGGGATCGAACTCCTCTATTCATCTCCTTATTGCGCCTCTCCTTATGGGCTGTGAGTACCTGGCTGACCTGCTCTGCTTCTGGGGGTGATTGCTTGGAGGGTGAGTGGCTGTGTCACCAGGAACTGGTGGTGGAAGAGTTAATATTCCTTTTGACTCTCTTGGCTTCAGAGGGGGTGTGGATTGGCTTTGATGTGGAGCCCAATATGCTGTCCTGCCATCAGACATGGTATCACAGGCATGTGGAGCAAGCTGGTCATCTTGGATCACCATGACAGTATTCAGCAGATCACGAATTCCCAAGTTCCAATCCCCAGGGCTGCTGCCTGAAGGCTGTTCTCATTTGCTTTGCAGGATGGGCTGATCCACGTGTCCCTGGAGCCGTCTGAGATTCTGTACCTGACAGTGGCCTACGACTGGTTTCTCTTTGGGTAGGCACGCTAAGTTTTACTTGTGTATGCGTCCCTGCGCAGCAGGGGAGAAGCCTTCAGGGGGTTGTGTTTGCTCACAACCAAAGGTGGATGTTGGGGCAGCTCCCAGTGAGTTGTGACAAGAGGAGCTGATGGCGTTTTTTTACCTGGAGGCTCAGACATCTGGCTATTCTTGACAGATTGTGTTCTTCTGCTGATTCTGGCTTCCAGCATGTGACTAAGCTTCCCTTGCTCTCTTTCCAGGCACATGTTAGTCGATCGACTCAGTAAAGGAGAAGAGGTGAGTGTCTCGTCTGGGGCAGTGGTTGAGCACTGCTTTTTGTTCTCAGGGTACTTGTTTACGGTAGCAGCATTCACTGCCTGCTTCTGGTAATATCAGTGGTCTGGCTGGGCTCTAAAAATTGTTCAGGTGCTGGAAATGTGAGGTAGGAGCCTTGCCCCATCACTTCCTGATGCGTAAGGTGTGGGAATGATTTTCTCTCAGGCCACAGTTTGGTTGATGAGTGTCAGTCCTGCTGGTTCCCCTGCTGTGCCTCTAGTGTTCAGGCCCCTGGTGAAAGGGTGCTAGGGCTTGCTATTCAGCTCAGCAATGAGAAGGGATGCTTAAGGTGTGTGACTCTTGGGATCTTGGAAATAAAGCTGTGTAGTCTTGTGTGCTTGTCACGAGTGCCAGCCCTCCTTGCCTGGGTGCTGCAGCTGCCTGTGGGTTTGCATGTCATCGTGGGCTCATGAAGCCCCTTACTCTGGTTCCAGTGCATGTATTCGGTGGGGTGTATCTGTGGGTACACAAGTGGGTCTGGGAGGCAGTTAAGATTACTGGAACTAATTCTCTTCAAATCTTTAACTGTTTTAATAGCGAAAAATGATTGCTCTGACTACAGGCACAGTATAGTTTTTCGCAATATCGGTTTTTGATAGACGTACTCGCCACCTCTTGATTTCTAACCCTGTTGCTAATCCCCTGCTCCTCAGACTCTCACCTCACTAGGGAATCTCCTGCCCCTGAACAGCAGAGCTGGGACCCTGGCCTGTTTTCCATCTTACAGGTGTCCAGGACCCCTGTATTAGTATCGTTCCTCCCATTCATTCCTTTCCCAGAGCTCTACTGGATGGAGCCTGGCAGCTCTCCTCTGCTCTGGTGCCTGCTTGGCCAAGGGCAGTGTCAGTAGCTGCAACAGGAGAGGGGATGCATGGCAGCCTCTAGCACTCCCTGCTCCCTGCTGCAGGAGGAGAAGGGCTCAGCTCTGTGCAGGTAGATGGGGTGGCAGAGGCACAGCGGGGTGAATGCCGTAGAGAAGACTGGTGCGTGACAGGGCATGAGCTTGGGACCCCAGACACTGCAGGTACTGCATGCTTCCAGGTGTGATACAGCTGTGGTGCTGAGGTGGAGCATGTAGCTCTAACCCTGCTAGTCCTGCTGGGTTTGCTGCTTACCAGGGTATATAAGCAGCTGCTGGGGGCCATTTCTTTTCCATTCTGCACTGATGGCATAAGTACCCGCCATGTGCTTGTGGCATGTGTGCAAAGCATTGATAAGGAGACTTGTCGAACACCTTCCTTTCTGGGCCTCCCCGTGGCAGGGAACAGAGGGTCAGTTTAATGTGTAAGAGAAGGCCCAGGATGGGATGGTGGCAGCTATCTCCTTCCTGCCAGCACCTCCCCACCAAGATAAGAGGCTGCATGG